CACCCTCTCCTGGCCCCTTGTTATTTTCCTATCCAGCCGGTGCAGATCCCCGCCCCCCCCGCCCCAGGGGAAGGGGATCAGTTTGAAGGCACCCTCCCACCTCATCCCTAAGTGCCCTCTCAGTGGGCACGAGACACAGACTGAGGCACGTCCTTCCCTCAGAAGCAGCCTTGGCCTGCCTGGCAGTGGACCCTGCCATCCTGCTCATTGTGGTGGGGGTCCTCATGTTCCTCCTGACCTTCTGTGGCTGCATCGGATCCCTCCGTGAGAACATCTGCCTCCTGCAGACGGTGAGTGGCCCAGGCCCACCAGAAAGAGCTGGCCCTCCTGTGTGCCTCTGTGTCCCCTGGCAGACGGTGAGTGGGCCCAGGCCCACCGGAAAGAGCTGGCCCTCCTGCTGTGCCTCTGTGTCCCCTGACCCGCCCTGCCCACAAGGGCTGTGTTGTCCCCTCCTAACGTCCAGCTCAGTCCCAGGTGACTCAGCACAGGAGGGTCACCTCTGAAACAGTGTCCCCCCACAAGGGGCCTCTGGGAGATGTGCCTGGTCCCCAGCACCCCGTAGCCCTGGGAGGGGCTGCTGCCCAGAGTGGTAACAGCCTGTCTCCCCACAGTTCTCCCTCTGCCTCACCGTGGTGTTCCTGCTCCAGCTGGCTGCTGGGGTCCTGGGCTTCGTCTTCTCAGACAAGGTAATGCTGGGAGCCAAGAGGCCCCTCAAGTGTGCACCAGAGGGAGGAAGGGACATCTCAGTGTTTAGCCTGACTAATTAGCATGCCCCCCCCCCCCAGGAAGCCAGCCTTTGAAAGGTACTTCTTAGGGAGGAACTAGTGCCCTTTCAGGTCACTAGATTTAAAGAGAAGTTCAAGATTGTAAGGCTTTTTATTCTGATGGTCAGAGAGGCAAACTGGGAAATAAATTCTGTGAACACCAAGTTGAAACAATCTGCAAACTTTAATGACAAATGAGTGTGTAAAGTTCAGGGATCAAGTGGACCACAGGCAACATGAGGAGCCCCTTATTTCTTTAAAAAAAATCGTTCTTTGGGGCCAATAGGTGGCGTGGTGGTTAAGGCACTGGACTGTCATATGGCTGACCGTGATTTAAGTCCTGGACCTGATGGCTTGCTTTCTCACATTTCCTCTCTCTGGTGAATTTAATAATAATAATAATAATAATAATAATAATAATAATAATAACAATAAATTAAATAATTATATATGTTAAAAAAAAAATCATTCTTTGAGGGGCCAGAGGGTGGCCTGGTGGTTGAGGTGCTGGATTCCTACATTGCTGACGGATGTTCAAGTCCTGGACTTGTTGGCTTGAAAATCATGCTTGGTGTGTGCGTGCATATCCAAAATCCTGAGAGGAGAATGGAGAAGAAAGGATTGTACAACATGGTCTTCCCACCTGGGGGGTGATTTTTCACTATCCCTCTCTGTCTCTGTCTCTCTCCAGCAAACATATATACCCTTTGGCAAACAAACAAACAAACAAACAAACAAAAACAGTTCTTTGAGATAAACAGAGAGAAAAAAGGTGAGAAAAAAACATGATCTTGAACAGTGCTTACCATGTCTGGAAGTGGCCTGCTTGCCATTCAGTGACCATCTTTTTCATCAAGAAATGGAAATTGCTTTTCCAAAGGACATCTAATTGTCAAGGGCAGGGGTTAGGGCTATGGAAGGGAGCACTGAGATTAGTAGTGGAGCCGAAGGGAAGGCACCATAGTAGAAAAGTATTACATTGAAGGCCAATGAGTTAGTTCAGAATTTTCTAGTCCTTCTGACTTGATAAAATCCTTTCAGGATATGAATGTTTTTCATCTAGAGATGCAGTTTTCCTGTGTCCACTAGAGGTCAGTGCCTCCCCTCAGCAGGTTCCTTTCTGCTTAAAAAAAAAAATCCATTTTTTCACTTTGCATCAGTCCACAAGTATTTTGTATAACAGAATGCCAAGCAGATGAACATTAGATTTTCTTGAAATGTGTCGCTGAGAAGGGGTGACAGCAGTCCAGCATTTCTCTTGCCCACTAGAACCTGAGGATCCAGGGGTAGGTGGGCTTTGGAACTGGCCACCTCTGGTTGTTAGGACTTGGTTCTGATTTCAAGGTTGACCCAAATAAACAGGTGACCCCTGTCTGCTATTATTTCTGCAGAGGTAGTAAGTTAGAGATTAGCCCTGTGTCCTGATGCCCTACCCACCCATGTCTCTGCAGGCTCGGGGGAAGGTGAGTGAAATCATCAACAATGCCATTGTACACTACCGAGATGATTTGGATCTGCAGAATCTCATTGATTTTGGCCAAAAGAAGGTATGGCTTCAGTGCGGTGGGGTCAGCTAGTGTTTGGGGGGCTGTGGGGGAAAAGTTAATGTCATCCTAAGGGACACCTTATCCTCTGAGTCTGTAGGCCCCTTGGTTACCTGACAGATAATGCATTCTGGGAAAGGACTGGGGAAAAAAAGAAGTGCATAGCAAAGCGCTTTAAAGGTACTTTTGGGGACCAGCAGGTAGCATGGTGGTTAAGGGCACTGAACTCCCACATGACTGACCACGGTTCGTGTCCTGGACCTGGTAGCTTGCTTTCTCACTTTCTCTCTTACTCTGTCTCTCTCTGATCAAGTTAAAATAAATAAATAAAGTTAAATAAAATAATTCTAAAAACAACAACAACAACAATGTAATGTTGGCCCAGTTGCAGTAGCATACACCGACACCACTGTTTGGCAGGCTGAAGCCATGTAAGAGGCCTGGATTTGATTCCTAGACCACCCTAAAAAGCCATGTGTGCAGGCCAGCAAGTGGTGTGGAGGTTAAGGCAGTTGGATCCCATATAGCCAACTGTGTAGTTAAAGTTCTGGACCTAGTGGCTTAAAAAAAATTATGTCAGGCGTGTGTCTTTGCCTGCCCCAAATCCTGATAGAATGGAGGAGAAGGGACTGCAATGTGGCCATCCCTCTGGGGGGAGGGTTCTCTCTCTTCTCTCTCTCTTTCCAGCAAGCAAGTGGGCCCTATAACAAAACAAAAAAGCCAGCAGTGTTGACATTCACCTGTGGTCCCAGCTACTTAGGAGACTGAGGTAGGAGGATTGAAGCTCAGTGAGACCTAGTGAGACCCAGCCTAAAACATACTCTTCCCCCCTCACACACATACACCATCAAAAAAAGGACTTTTAAAATGCAAAGCAATATACATACAGTTGACCCTTGAACAATGCAGGGGTTAGGGGACATTGACGCCATATGTAGTCAAAAATTTGTATATAACTATTTTTAAAATTATTTATTTTATTTTATTTGTTACTATTATTAGTTTTTAAAATTTGACCAGAGAGAGACAAAAAGAGAGGGAAAGTGAGAAAACAAGCCACCAGATCCGGGACTTGAACTGTAGTCAGTCATGCACCAGTCCAGCACCTTAACCATCACACCACCTGCCAGCCCCTGCATGTAACGTTTTTTCTTAATTTATTCATTTATTTATTTATTTTCAATTTGGTCAGAGAGGGACAGAGTGAGAGAGAGGGAAAGTAAGAAAGCAAGCGGCCAGGTGTAGGACTTGAACCATTGTCTGCCATGGAGGAGTCCAGTGCCCTTAACCACCACGCCACCTGTCTCTCCCACTCCTCCCCATATAACTTTACTCTTCAAAACTTAAGTACCAATGGCCTACTGTTGACCAGAAACCTCACTATACTCTATTTTCCAACATATTTATAAAAAATACATATATATGTTTATAAGTGAACCTGCACAATTCAAACTTAAGTATTGTTCAAGAGTCAGCTGACGTAATCTACCACTGTGTTAAAAAAAAAAAAAAAAAAAGATCGCTTTTTGCCAAGATGGTGCCGAATGCAAAGAAGGAAGCTCCTGCCCCTCCCAAAGCTGAAGCTAAAGCAGAGGCTTTGAAGGCCAAAAAGGCAGCGCTGAAAGGCGTCCACAGCCACAAAAAAAAGAAGATCCATACATCACCCATCTTCCGGAGGCCCAAGACTCTTTGGTTGCGGAAGCGGCCCAAACATCCTGGGAAGAGCGCCCCCAGGAGAAACAAACTTGACCACTCTGCCGTCATCAAGTTCCCCCTGACAGCCCAGTCGGCCATGAAGAAGATAGAGGACAACAACACACTTGTGTTCGTCATGGATGTCAAGGCGACAAGCACCAGGTCACACAGGCTGTGAAGAAGCTCTATGGCATGGATGTGGCCAAGGTCAACACTCTAATCAGGCCTAATGGAGAGAAGAAGGCATATGTTGACTGGCTCCCAATTATGATGCTTTGGATGTTGCCAACAAAATTGGGATCATCTAAAGTCCAGCTGGCTAATTCTAAATACATACTTTTCACCATAAAAAAAAAAAAAATCAATGAAAGAATATATACTCTTTTCTTTTTTTCTTCTTTTTATGTTTTTGCTATAGGGCATGTGCATTCACCAGAGAAAGTCGGGGGCAGAGAGAGTGAGAAATCACCCACCAGGAGAATGGCCACACCGCAATCCCTGTTCCTCCCCTCTCCTCAAGATTTTGGGCATTGGGACCAGCAGTTAGCGTAATGGCTATGTTGCTGGACTCCCATGGAGTTGATGGCAGTTCGAGTCCTGGACCCTGTGGCTTAAAACTCACGCCGGGCACGTGAGCGTGCGTGCTCAAGATCCCGAGAGGAGAATGGAAGAGAAGGGATCGCGGCATGGCCATTCCCCCTGGGGGGTGATTTCTTGCTTTCTATCTCTCTGTCTCTCTCTCTGTCTTTCTGGCAAGCGCATGCGCCCTATAACAAAAACCTCTCCAAAAAAAAAAAAAAGATTTTGGGCATGCCCGCACACATGCCTGGCATGATCTTCAAGCCTTGGGTCAGGGACTGAACTATGAAGCTGGCCATGTGGGATTCAGCATCTAAACCTGCTGGTAAACATAATACATACTCTTTTTTTTTTTTTTAAGAATTATTTTAACTTTATTAATTATTATTATTATTATTTTCCAGTTTGATCGGAGAAAGAGAGAGAGAGAGAGAGAGAGAGAGGAAATGTGAGGAAACAAGCTACGAGGTCCAGGACTCGTTCAGCCATATGGGAGTCCAGCGCCCTTAACCACTACACCACCTGCCAGCCCCAACAATACATACTCTTAATTGCAAAAGAAATCTAGAAGAATATGTAAGAAATCATTATATAAATAAGTGGTTACCTATAGGGAGATGAGAAACTTTTAAATGTCACCTATTCAACAGTTACATTTTTTAAATTGTGGTGAAATATATGGAACATAAAATTGACCACTTTCAAGTGTCCAGATCTGTGACATTAAGTACATTCACACTGTTTTGCAGCCAGCACCGCCATCTCCAGAACTGTTTCATCTTCCATCTGAAATTTCGTGCCCATTAAACACTAACTCCCCATTTCCCTCTCCCCTGGCAGCCACCATTCTAATTTTTGTCTTTATGAATTTCACTACTGCCGGCCCCTCAAAAGCATGAGGTCTTAAAGTATTTGTCCCTTTGTGACTGGTTTTATTTCACTTGGCATGTTTTCAAGCTTCATCTGTGTTGTTCCATGTGTTGTAATTTCCTTTATTTTTAAGACTGAGTGAAAATGTATGGTCTGTATGCACCACATTTGCATACCCATTTACCTGTCATGGTTCTGTATCCATGTACCTGTCAATGGACGTGTGAGCTGTTGTGAATAAGAATGCTAATGAATCCAAAGTTAAATTTTAAATAAAAGTGCTTTCGAGGCTAATGTGGAGTTTCCCTTCCCCTGATCCAACAGACACTTGACTTTTGGGTTCAGTTTGCTTCCTGGAGTCATGATAGGCTCATAATATCGAAGTGTCCTCTCCTTTTTTTTTTTTTTTTTTTGCCTTGCAGTTTTTCAGCACCAAACTTTTCATTATTTCAGCTAGTATTTTTGTGCTGCTATCACAGAATACCACAGACTGGGTACTTTATAAAGAACAGAAATCTATTGGCTCCTAGTTCTGGAGGCTGGAGGGCCAAGATCAAGGCACTGGTCAGGTGGGGACGTGGTGAAGGCCCATTCTCCACGCCCAAGATGGATTCCTTGAGCTCTGCACCCTCCGAGGGGAGGAAAGCTACTCGTCACATGGAGGAAGAGCAGAAGGGCGAAGAGACAAAAGAGGACTGGACTCATCCTTCACAGCAGCATTAATCCATTCACAAGCGCAGTCTCATGACCTGAACAACACCCAGTAGGCCCCACCTCCCAACACCATCGCACTGGGGACTACGTTTCAACATGAGTCTTGGAGGAGACAAAATGTTCAGACCGTGACAACCTTTTTTTGTCAGACTCTATGCTGTGCAGGGCCTTTAAGCCAGAAACTTCTCTCAAGCAGCTTAAGATATGCAAAACAGAATATGTATGTATATATACATATGTACATACACACACACATATATATGCCCACAGATATCTCACATTTTTATTACAATTTTATTACCTTTTCCATATATTTGTGTAAAATAACAAGAGCAAGCATGGTGGTAAGTTTTTTGTTTGTTTGTTTATTTTTTAAGAGAGATTTTTGCTATAGGGCACATGTGCTTGCAGGAGAGACAGACAGAAAGCAAGAAATCATCCCCCAGGGGGATGGCCATGCCTTAATCCCTTCTCCTGCAGTCTCCTCTTGGGATTTTGGGCATGCATGCACACACGCCTGATGTGAGTTTTAAGCCATCAGGTCTGGGACTTGAACCATGGTCGACTACATGGGAGTCCAGTGACATAACCATTATGCCATCTGCTGGTCCTGCATGATGGTAAGTTATAACAAGATATATAAAGTAATAGAAATTAAGAAGAGTAAATTTCTTCAGATGGTGACCAGAGGCTTGAACTCGAGGTTCAAGATTGGACTTAAATGGACCAGCAGTTGGTGTAATGGCTACGTCGTTGTTGGACTCCCATGTAGTCGTCCCGGACCCAGTGGCTTAAACTCACACTGCGTGCGTGTGCTCAAGATCCCGAGAGGAGAGTGGAGGAGAAGGGATTGCAGCATGGCCATCCCCCCAGGGGGTGATTTCTCACTTTGTCTCTCTGACTAGCGCACGCACCCTATTGCAAAAATGTCTCCAAAAAAAAAGAAAAGATCGAACTTAAACATCTCCTAAAGTTACAAGTGGAAGTTTGCCTTATACTTCTGTTCACTCTAAGAATACCTCTGGCCCCCTCAGTGTGAGGATTCTTAACCTCTGGGATGGGCTTTGTTGCAGTTCAGCTGCTGTGGAGGTATTTCCTACAAGGACTGGTCCCTGAACATGTACTTCAACTGCTCAGAAGACAACCCCAGCCGTGAGCGCTGCTCTGTGCCTTACTCCTGCTGCTTGCCAACCCCCAACCAGGTGAGCACAAGTCCCACCTCATTTCCTCCTGGGCAGTGACCTCAGTGACTTTCTGATTAGAGCAGCTGCTGTGAGAATCCCATTCCCTATCTTAACCAATTGGTTTTGCAGGACAGCGGTCAGGTGTTTTTCTCTTCCCCAGTCTGATGGCTCTGCTAACCTTTCACTACTTTTGTAGCCCGTGTGGGGGTTTAGAAGGGGCCAATCTAAAGCAAGGAGAAATGGGCTGGCCAGTGGCACATTGATCATGCAACTGGACCCACATGGGAAGGGACCTAGGTTTACAACATAGGGTAATACGCATGCCCATTATCTGGGCTGGCCAAGACTGGGGGTAGATCGCAGCGTTAGGAACCAGTTGAAGGTACCTCTCTCCCTTTCTCTCTGTCCAATGGAAAAAGTAAATAACCTTTAAACAAACAAATAGAGCAAGGAGAAATGGACCCAGGCCTCTCAGGGGAAGAGAAGTCTGCATTTAGCAGTCTTACCCAGCATCCTGCACATGTATCCCCTGACAATTCAAGAGTTTGGGAAGGATGAGAATCTTATTAGCTGAAACCCAAAACAAGTGGTTGGAATGGAAATTCGACTTGGCTTTCCCACTCTATCCTCAGGCAGTGATCAACACTATGTGTGGCCAAGGCATGCAGGCCCTTGACTACCTGGAAGCCAGCAAAGTCATCTATACCAACGGCTGCATTGACAAGTTGGTCAACTGGATACACAGCAACCTATTCTTACTTGGTGGTGTGGCTCTGGGCCTGGCCATCCCTCAGGTAACTCACCCTGTAGGATTTGTGGTCCTACAAACTCTGCAAAGACTCCTTGGTTTGGGGGAGGGCATGACATCACCAAGGGACCAGGGAAGGGACAGTGCTAACCGCACTGGGAGGACTGAGTCAGGGAAGACAAGGGCACCACTCATTATCGAGGGTCCTATTCCTTCTTTTCTCTCCCAGCTGGTGGGCATCCTCCTGTCCCAGATCCTTGTGAATCAGATCAAAGACCAGATCAAGCTACAGCTCTACAACCAGCAGCACCGGGCTGACCCATGGTACTGAGACTCCATCTTGCACTCCTCGCCATGGCGACAGGCAAGCCCCATGCACCAACAGCAGTGGACGCTGAGAACAGCACCAAATGGAGATTTGGATGCCAGCCTCAGTCCCAGCCCCAGCCCAGTGGGAAGAGGCTAACTCCAGATGGGCAGAAGGCAGGGTGCACAGGTGGCTCGAGTCTCAGAAGGATGTGCCTCCTCTCCCCCATCCCGGCCCTCAGCATCGTTAGAGTTTTTGTATCGCTTCTAACCTTAAGCATTTGGGTTTGTGTTTTTTTAGTTTTGTTTGGGCAGAGATGTTTGGGAAACAGCAGTTGCACAGAGAGCTGTGGGTGTTGGAGCTGCTGCCTTTTCACCAAGGCCCTAGAACCGGCAGCTCCGTTAAGGGCCGCTACTGAGCTTGGTGGACGTGCGTAGATCTGACCGTTGCCAGTGAGACCTGGCTGTGGAGAGGAGACACCAGCGGCCCTGCCTGACGTCCAGTTGGCATGATACCAGCTCCAGAAGGGAAGGGAGTGGAGCAACAGCGGAGAGTGAGCATGAGGGTCGGCCGGGGACAGCCTAAATGTTGGATAGGCGTGGAATGGGATTATTTACCAAACGCCTGCCCTGCCATCCTCCCAGGTAGTCAGTGAGCTACATCCTGCCCCTCCTTCATTTCCATGGAAACGTGGCAGCACAGGCAAGGGGTACAACAGCAGCCAAATTCATCTACACCCCACCCCCTCCGAAAAATGTGGCAACCATAGTCCTTACACTCTGCAGTCGCAGAAGTGGGACTGCACTATACGTGTACTCGAACTCCTCCCTGTCTGGCCCTCCCTGTCCAGCAAGTGAAGTTTTCTTTAACTTGGCAGTGTGCAGAGGAAGAGTGGGAACACCCCCACCCCCAGTTCCCCTGCATCAGAGCTCAGTATTTCTACAGTGTAAGAAGCAAGAATCTTGCTGGGGTTGGGGGAGCCAGAAGTGGCAATAAAAGTTTGTTGACCCGGGCTAAGCTGGACTCCATGAATTTTCCATTCTGGCACCTGGAGGGGAGGGGTAGAAGGGCCCAGTGGGAGCCCTGCTTTCTGGAGGGGGCTAGAGGCTCCCGTAAATCTCACACTACCTCCCCCACCTCACACCTATCTCCCCCAACAAGTCACCCTCCCACCACCCCATCTTCTCTGGTCTAAATTAGGTGGAATAATTCCTAGTTCCAATCTGGTAAGGGCATTATTTTAATCTAAAACCTGATGTTAATTTTTTTTTCCGATTAAAGTGAATTAAAATGAATTTGCCACCCAAAACTTAAGAGAATAGAGAAGGAAGGGTACTCTCTGCTGGGGTAAGGAGGGTAATGAGAAGCAGGAAAGGCATCTCTTTACCCTCTAGCCTCTTTTTCCATCTTTAAAGAGCTGGGTACGGTCGGCCCGGCCTGTTTAAGAAGGACGCAGGGGGGCGGGGGGGGGAGAAGAACGCAGAAAAAACTTGGAACTCGGAGCGTGGTCCCCGCCCCCGCAGCCGCCCAAGCCGGCGTCTCCGCCCCCCGGAGGGACAGGAACCGTGGGCTGTGCTGTGCTTGGTCACTACCCCGTGGGTGTCCCTAGGGTCTCCAGGCGGCCTCTTGTTGCCAGGGGTCTGAGACCTGGGGGCTTGACCCGGCCCCGAAAAGCCTGGCGAGTCCTTGCAGCACTGGGGAGACAAAGAGTCGGGGAGACAAAGAGTCGCGAGTTCGTTCCCCGCCCCCAGTGTCTCTAAGGCGAGCCTTCTGCTTCTGGGAGGGCGCCTTTCCTGCAGCCGCCTGGGACCAGGCCAACCTTGAGCTCCCAGCTAGTACAGGACCAAAAGCAAAAATAAAATCATCACGAATATAAAATTTAAAAAACGAAGGCCTTTTATTCCTGGAGGAAAAAGTTTAAAAGTGCACTTTGTGGGTAATGTGCCTTTCTTGATTAGTGCCAGAGGCTTGAGTTTTGTACTTTTCCTCATTTTTTAAAAAAGTTTTTTTTTATTTTAGTTGTTTTGCCATAGGGTGTGTGAGTGCACTTGCCAGAGAGAGAGAAAGAAAAAATGAGAAATCACCACCCCACCCCCACCCCCCACCCCGCCAGGAAGGATGGCCACACTGCAGTCTCTTCCGTTTTCCTCTGGGGATTTTGGGCACCCAGGCACATGCACCCAGCATGTATTTCAAGTCCCGGGGTCGGGGACTCAGACTGACTAGCACAGTGGGCCCTGTGGGGTCCAGTGCTTTCACCAGTCCCCTGCTGGCCCTGCTTTTCCTTCTAGGAACGGATCCTCTAGAGTGATGAATCTTCCTGATTCAGTGGCTTTGAAGGGCTAACTCAGAGGTCTCTGCCTGGGGCCTCTGGGAGGGAAGGGCAGTCCTCAGGACCAGGAATCAAATCTGTACTTGTTCAACTCCAGACTATATTTTTACCATGGCTTCTGTCTCTGTGCTAGCCTTCAGAGCCTGGACTATTCGGTCACTTGCCCGTGCCCTTCACTTCAGAACATGCGGAAGTTCAGTGTTCCCAGCTATGTTCCAGTCTGTCCTACCTCATTTTCTCTGGCCTGATGCAGAAGGAGAAAATACCCTGCTTTTTAAAAGATTTCTCAATGTTGGGACCAGCAGTTGGCGTAATGGCTGTGTTGCAGGACTCCCATGTAGTCGACCGTGGGTCAAGTCCCAGACCCGGTGGCTTAAATTCATGCCAGGCGCATGGGTGTGCGTGCCCAAGATCCCAAAGGAAATTGGAGGAGAAGGGATTGCAGCATGGCCATCCCCCCTGGGGGGTGATTTCTCGCTTTCTGTCTCTCTGTCTCTGTCATTCTGGCAAGCACATGCTCCTTATAGCAAAAACCTCTCAAAAAAAAAAAAAAAAAAAAAAAAAATTTTTCATTATTACTTGATGTTTCAACTAAATTCGTTCCCAGAATTTTTCCCTGTTTCTAGTAACCTTAATGCCAAACAGGCAGGATTACCACCAGTACCGTGGAACAGCTGATCGGATCTAGGTCTCCAAAAGGTAGAAGAGTGCAAGGAGAGTCTTCCCGACCGCAGAGATCAGACGGGGTGGGCAGAAGTGGAGGGAAAAGGCCTGAGAGGTGGTAACAGTCTGGCCAGGTGGCAGCATGGCAGAAAGATTCCAATACCTTCTGTGGGCCTCAGACTATAATTAAACAAGGACTTGTGTCCAGGAGAGCAAATTTTGTGAAAAAATGCAATGAAATTCTGATTTCTTTGTTGGCATTTTGATTTCTTTCTGTATTGGTATTTTGCTTTGTTTTGTTTTAAAATTTTTTATACTCACCAAAGAGAAAAAAGAAAGTGAATGAGAAATCACCCCCTTGGGAGAATGGCCACACTGATCTGTTCATCCTTCTCTTTGGATTTTGGGCACACATGCACATGTACCCGGTGTAGTTCTCTCTCTCTCTCTTTTTTTTTTTTTAAAAAGAAGTTTCCACTATAGGGCACGTGCGCTCGCCAGAAAGACAGAAAGCAAGAAATCGCCCTCCAGGAGGGATGGCCATGCCACAATCCTTTCTCCTCCATTCGCGTCTTGGGATCTTGAGCACGCACACACGCCCAGTGTGAGTTTAAGCCACCTGGTCCGGGACTCAAACCACAGTCGACTACGTGGGAGTCTAGCAACATAGCCATTAATGCCAACTGCTGGTCCCCGGTGTAGTTCTCAAGCTGCCAGGTCTGGGACTCAAACCATGCAGTTGGCCATGTGGGATCCAGCCATCTTAACCACCGTACCACTTGCTGGTCCTTTCTGTATTCGTTTTTCACTGCGGCTATTACAAATTACCACAAATTTAGTGGCTTAGGACAACACAAATCTGTTATTTTACCATTCTGAAAGTTCCAAAGGAAAACAGAGTGATGAGGGCTGCATTCCTTCTCGGACTCTTGGGGATAATCTGCTTTTCTAGCTTCCCAGGGCAACTTTCGTTTTTTGCCGTGGCCTTCTTTCCCTCTTCGGAGCACATCACTCCTGGTTTTTATCACTACACCCCCTTTTCCTCCAACCCTCCTATCACTTTTTTTTTTTTTAGAGGTTTTTGGTTTTTGCCATAGGTTGCTTGCGCTTGCCAGAGAGAGGCAAAGACAATGGGAAGGAAAGTGAGACATCACCCCCCCCACCCCATGGGGATGACCATGCCACAATCCTTTATCCCCTACTGTCCTCCTGGAATCTTGGGCACATGCACTTGGTGTGGTTTTCAAGCCACCAGGTCCAGGAATTGAACCGTGGTTGGCCATGTGAGAGTTCAGCAATGTAACCACTACACCATCTGCTGGCCCCTCCTATCACTTTCTTATAGGATCCATGTAAATAATCACAATGGTCCTACACAGACTAATCCAGGGTGACCTAACTGTTTTAAGAGCCTTAATTTAAACACATCTGCAAAAGCCCTTTTATCATGGAAGGTTAGATATGCACAGGTTCCAGGAATTAGGATGTGGGCATTTGGGGGTGGCTGGTGGTCTCCTTTCTAGTCTCACACATAACTTAAGGGGGAGGGTGTGGGGAATGAGCTAATGAAGGATACCAGCAAAAGTTTGAGCTAGGTGTTCTCTGGTCTTCATTCTGATCACTACTTAGCACTGATTAGGTGCTTGCTGTGTGCCAGCCATGGATTGATTTGAAATTTAATATGCAGCCTTTGCTATTCTCTGACTCATCCTCATTCCGAACACCTGATGTGTTAACAAGGCCAGGAACCAGTTTCACACCATGGAAATCGCACAGCTTTTTCCACCAGATGAGTTCTCCTGGTCCATTACTCTAAAAGGATCAGAATATTTTATAAGTACCCACCTCAAGTAAGTGAAGAGTAACTAGATACTCCAGATTGCCTGAGATAGAGCACTTAGAGAAGGGAAGAGTAAGGAGCAACCACAGTCCAGAACTCAGGTTGTAAATTTAGCCTGCAGAGTCTTCCCACAATCATGCCAGGAATGTGGTAAATCAATCAGATGAATGGAATAGCATGGAGATTCCAGAAATACTTTTGAACATTAGTGTTCACTCTAACAAATAAGCAACAGGATGATGAGAGGAAGGGATAATCACGAATAAGTTACTAGACAAAAGGGATTACAGCATGAAAAGAGGAACAGATTGATACATCCTGCATCAGACACTGTGATGCATTCCAGAAAGATAAAAGGCTTAAATGTTTCCAAGAAAAGCAAACAACACTAAAAATAAATAAATAAATAAATAAATAAATAAATAAATAAATAATACTACTAATAAAAACGTCAGAACATCATACTTGTCTTAGCTCTAGGGAGCTTTTCAGCGTCTGCCCTACTCCCAGTGACTCTTCTTACTTTGGAAATTAGTTCCCCACCTCACAAGCTATTGGAGTTAAGTCTATTTTTTTTTTAAGAACTATTTGTTTATTATCATTATTTTTTCAGTTTTGACTAAAGAGAGGGAGACAAGTTACAAGGTTTGGGACTTGAACCATGGTCGCCTGTGTGAAAGTCCAGTGCCTTTACCAGCCGGGCTCTGGAGTTAAGTCTTCAGGAGCTGCATTTATACTGTAAGACCTGGTTCCCCTGGGACCAGCCCTGTGCCACAATGGTTAAGTACAGTACACAGGGTACATAGGGAGGTGGATCCCACATGGCCGACTGTGGTTGGAATCCTGGCCCTTGGAGTTTAAAGAGAACTTGCATGTGCATTTGTGTCCCAAATCATTATCAATATGGAGCTCACAGGTGGTGCGATGGTTAAGGGCTCTGACTCCCACATGGTCAACTACAGTTCAAGTCCTGGACCTGGCAGCTTGCTTTCTCACTTTCCCTCTCTCTCTCAATCTCTCTCTCTCCTCTCTCTCACTCTGTCCCTCTCTGGTCAAATTAAAATAAGTAAATAAATAAATTTAAATAAAATAATTATTTTTTTAAAATCTATTCTTTAAAAAAAAAAAAGAATTATCGGGCCAGCAGGTGGCACAGTGGTTAAGGGTGCTGGACTCCCACAT